AATCAACGGAGTGGCGTCGAAGAGATACAAGGCAAGATTGGTCGCTAGGGGGTTCACTCGAAAAAAAGTTGTCGACTTCAATGATGTGTTCTCTCTTATTGTGAATCACAAATCCATTCGAATGTTACTTGCCACGGTGGCCCAGTTTGACCTTGAACTGGAACATCGTTCTTGTATGGTGGTGATCTAGATAAAACAATCCTTATGAGGTAACTTGAAGGGTATGTTAAAAAAAGGAAGGAAGATTATGTGTGCAAGTTGAATAGATCTTTATATGGACTGAAACAATCTCCTCGATAGTGGAATAGGAGATTCGACAAGTTTATGGCACACATTAGTTTCATCAGAAGTCAGTTCGACCACCGTGATTACTTCAGATTTCGACCGGATAATTTATTTGTTATTTTGTTGCTCTATGTGGATGATATTCTAATAGCAAGCAACAATGTCGAAGAGGTAATGAGGGTGAAGGTTGAACTCAATAAGGAGTTCAAGCTGAAGGATCTGGGAGTTGCATCCAGGATTCTTGGGATTGACATCCAAAGAGATAGAAAGTAGTCAAAATTATGCTTATCTCAAGAGGCATACCTACGGAATATTCTTGAAATGTTTGGCATGTCGAATTCAAAGCTGTTTGTGACTCTAAAAAACCCTCAATTCAAGATGAATATAGATCAGTGTCCTAGTACTGATGTCGAAAGAGCTTGTATGAATAGCATTCCATATGCTAATATTGTGGGTACTTTGATGTATGTTATGGTCTATACTAGACCCGACATAGCATATACAGTAAGTCTTGTAAGCAGGTGTAAGGCGGATCCTAGAAAGACTCCCTGTCAAGCATTGAAGTGGATTCTAAGGTACATAAATGGGTCTCTGAATAGAGTCCTAATTTATGGTGGAGCCATAGATGAAGATAATAAAGCAGAAATTGAAGGATATGTCAAGTCTGATTATGCAGGTTGTATGGATTCCAGAAAATCTATTTTTGGATATGTGTTCATTATTTTTAAGACAACAACCAGTTGGAAAGCTACACTTCAGAAGGTCGTTGCCTTATCAACCACTGAAGTGGAATATATCACCCTAACTGAAGCTGTGAAGGAAACATTGTGGCTTGAAGGTTTTGCAAAAGAGCTGAAACTTCAAGGTCGACTTATCACTGTTAAATGTGATAGTCAAAGTGCAATACACTTGTCGAAGAATTCAGCCTATCATGAGCGAACCAAGCACATTGATGTGAGGCTGCATTTCATCAGAGGGGTAATCGAGCATGGAGAAGTCCAAGTGCTAAAGGTTTTGATAGATCATAATGCTGCTGATATGATCACCATGACATTGTCCAGTTGCAAGCTTTTCCACTGTATGCAGTTGATAAAGCTTCATGAAAAAAGCTAGTTTCTTGATGTTATAGAGTTAGATCCAAGGTGGAGATTTGCGAGATATTGGACCGAACTCTAGTATGGTCGAAGTCCATTCGATAGTAATGCGAGTTGTAGTCGAAGTTTGTTCTAACATGCATTTGTCAATATTGCTAGGTTCGTTAGCATGTTGAATTGGGCCTTGCTTGTAAGCCCAATTGTTTAAGTTAGCTTGTACCCTAAGTTAGCTTGTAATGGGTAATTGTTAAAAAGTCCATTAGGTTAGTATGCTAATTTTCTTATAAATAGCATGCTAGTCTCTCATCTTGGTAAGAAAAAATAGAAGATAAAATCCTAATTTCAAGAGAGAGAGGTTATTTTGTTATTCTTGTATACTTGTAATATTTTTCTAAGAGAAAGGAACGAATATCAGTTTATAACCAATCCTTGTTGTTCATTGTTGTTTTACATTGTTTTCTTTGTTAACCTTAACCCGTGTGTGTTTCTTGATTATCAAGAAACCGTTTACATTTTGTTTCAAGACATCTAATTCCCAACAGGCATGATATCCACAAATTTCAAAGCTTATTTTGGGTGTGTCTGTTTGATTATTTGCATGTTTGATTATTTGCATATTTTGGTAATTTTTATTTGCAAAAAGATTAAACTCAGTTATGTTTGCAGGTGATGAACTTATTACAATTGTGATCATCGAATTTCCAGTCAATCAGTTATGTTTGTAGGTGATGAACTTCTTACAATTGTGATCATCAAATTTACAGTCAATAAACTATGACCTTAATCACATTACTAGTGTGTATGTCTGTGCGCACGCGTGTGCGTGTGTGTTAATTTATATATATATATATATATATATATATATATATATATATATATATATATATATATATATATATATATATATATATATATATATATATATATATATATATATATATATATATATATATATATATATATATATATATATATATATATATATATATATATATATATATATATATATATATATATATATATATATATATATATATATATATATATATATATATATATATATATATATATATATATATATATTGTTAATTTTTCTTGCAGGAGCATCATGGGTAGTTTGACCTTTCAATTGGAGCCATATTTTAGATCAAGTTAATAATGATAAGATTATAATAAAGATATGAACTTAGAATTACAATTATTTATAAAAATAATATGTTAGCATTTTGTTATGATAATTATTATGTTTAATTAAAATAGTGTTACAGTTGAATAATATAAGATAAATAATTTTTACTAAATATGTTACAAGAGCCCTCCTTTTATAGCCAAGGAGGTACATATAGGATAAAAGCAACACTATTTACAAGCATGACATTTATAATATTATATGAATGCCTTTTTTAAAAGTCTGACACACTTATCTCTAATAGATTACATTATTGTAGTCTTATTGCACAAAAAGACAAAATTTACTACTCATAAGCATGCTTGTAATCTTTGACGGACACATGTCCATTTAGTTTTTGCAAATGGGTTCATGAGAGGGGGACATATTTTGATCAGATAAATTTTCATCAGAAAAGCAATCTTCATAGCGAGATGATTCACGCTGCCAGCTATCATCCATCATGTAGGTGTGATATGCTAATCTCATATTAGCTTCTTCCACTTGTCCTTCAGAGAATTCAGCTTCCATTGGAGAATCTAGTTTTTGTTGTGTGGCTTGAGTCGAGCTTTCTCCAACTTCTGGTCTTATGAACTTTTCATGATGTATGCAAGTTGAACTTTCATCAAGTTTCTTTTGATCATAGAGATTGATGTAGTTAACATATTCCAGTAATTCCCTTGTGACTTTTAGACTGGGAGGATATTCATCAATGGTTTCCCATAAGTGAACATAACTCTTATAATTGAGCAGCTTAGTTACATGATCTCTCAGATAGGGCATGTGTAGAAAGAAAATAGACTTGAGTTTTCCAATATCTTCTGAAGGTAATCTTTGTTCACTGACTTCGTTTATGACTGGTTTTAATTGATCTCTCCACCATTGTAATAGAGAATACCATTCAAGAATGGTCCAAATCAAAGACTTGTGCTTCTTGGGATCCATTGTATGCTGATACATGGCCTCAGTGGGAATAAGAATAGGCATGTAGTACAAACAAGTGGCACACCAAATATACCACAAATGGTTTTTTGTGAATTTAGCATTTGGGTTTATTAAAATTGGCAGGAGAAAAGGTGTATCTGGGAAATAAGGACTATGATCCGGTAATTTGTTCCTTATGATTTTTGTCATGTAATAGAAAAGATTGTTCCTGGCATAATGCTTGAGTTGGGATGGTGAAGAGGATGTCGTTATTCCTGGAGGAAGATTCTTTGTTTTGGATGCATGGGTTGGTAGTGGTTTGACCATAAGAATTAGAGGGAAAGTGTGCTTGGCTGTGATGATCTGGATGGGTTTCATGGGTCTGGATAGTAGGTCAGGAATTACATTTTGGGTTCCCTTGATATGTTTTACCGAGAAATCATATCTGGAAAACCAATCTTTGAGCCTAAGAGTTTGAGGATCGGGAGGCATCTTATTTTTGAATTCAAGTATCTAAGGGAAACAGGAGTTGTCCATCTGGACTTCAAATTGGTAGCCTCTTAGGTGGAAGTCAAACTTTTGGATCCCCATCTTTACAGCGAGGGCTTCTTTGTAGATGGTGTGGTAGTGTTTTTCAGCTTCTTTAAATTGGCCACTGGCATGGCCACAATAGTATCTTTTTCCTTTAATATCTTCTATCTGGACTGCTCCCCAATAATAATCACTGGCATCGGTCTGTAGAATTCTTTTTCCATTCCCAGGGATTTTTAGAGCAGGAGGAGTTTGTGCGATTTTCTTTAAGGCTTTCACTGCTTCGTTTTTTGTGTTCCCCATGGTGGAGGTTTTTTCTTTAGCATTTGGAATAGAGGACTCGTGTATCTCACCAGTTTCGGCAGGAAATCTTGGATATAATTAATTATACCAAGAAATTGTTGGATTTGCTTAACTGTGAGATTTTCATCAGGAAAGTTTAATAGTTCTTAGGCAATATGAGGTTTAGGTTGATATTTCCCTTGGGAGAAATGCATCCCTAGGAAATCAATTTCTGTTTGTCCGAATTGACTTTTCTTTTCATAGTCAATCATTCCATGCTATTGGGCTATTTGAAGAAATTGGCCCAATAATTGTTTATGGGTTTTTTCATCTTTTGAAAACAATAACACATCACCAATATAGATGAGGATATTGTTGAGGATGGGCTCAAAAATTCTAGTCATGGCTTTTTGAAAGAGCGATGGGGCTACCTTAAGCCCAAATGGTAACACGGTCCATTGGTACTGGGTGTTAGGAATGCAGAACGCCGTTTTATAGCGATCTTCAAGGTCGATACCCAATTGCCAAAATCCTGACTTAAGGTCGAACTTAGAATATATTTGGGCATCTTTGATGAAAACATTTAAGGAAGAGGCTTTTGCAATGGGAAATTTATCATCTTTTAGAAAATGATTTAGAGGTTTGTAATCAATTACTAGCCTCTTTTTTCCCCTCAACTTTTCAGATCTCTTTTCCACATAGAATGCTTGGCAAGCCTATTCTGATTTGGTGGGTTCTATCAGACCTTGTTTGAGCAGTTGGTTGCATTCTTCCCTAGCTAATGCGTAATCTGATGGACTCATCCCTGGATGAGTGGCCTTGGTTGGATTAACATCTTCATTGAGCTTGAAGGGAAGTTGAACGAAGAAGTCTTTATTCTTCCATAGAGGTTTTGGGTGGCGGAATTTTTCATGGCTATCTACACATAGTCTGAGAAGGTTGGACTTGATCTCTTCATAGCCAGCAGGAACCTTAGAAAGTGAATACAGTTGCAGTATCCTAGAATAAGGTTTGAATTCTCTTTTGAATTTGATTCCTGTGGGGAGAATTTGGAGTTTAATTGCTGCTGAATAGACATCCATTCCTACTACAATATCTTTGTTTGGAAGATTAGTGCCAATGACCTTGGTCCAGACTATGCAGTCTGGGAAGAATTTAATTCCTATTTTCTCCTTGGTCATAAGATTTGTCTTGAAAACTTTTCCATCCGCTTCTACAAAGTATGCAGTGTAACAGCCCAATTTTCAATAATTGATTATTTATATTAATTAATTGATTTATTTGGATGATTTTAATTATTGGAATTATTGGTAGATATTTGAGTGAAGAAATATGATGGAAGGAATAGAATGGAAAGGCATATAAGGAAAAGTGGAAGGAAAAGGAAAGAATAGAAACATAAGAGAAAGAGAAGAGAAAGAAAGAGGAAGAGGAGAAAAGAGAAGGAAAAGAGGGGCAAGCTTGGAATCATCAAGAACAACTTCTAGCTTCGATTTAATCAAGGTAAGGGTGTGAAATATTATTATATTGTCAATTTATATGATTATGTATGATTGGTTTGGATTGTTTGGATGTTTTTCTCCATTTTCCATTCTAGGGCATATATGAGTTTAATCGGTAGAATCAAGGTTTTAACGGTTGGAATCCGGAATAAGTGGTGTAGATTAGTCGAGGATTGTTAGACTAAGAGTACTAGAACTCGTTGGAACTGAATCGGGTGATTTTGGGAGTTTTGGAGAGTTTTGGACAGTGAGGGTTTTGAATATCGCAGACGTTCGCTAGCACCTTCGCTAGGCGAGCAAGTCGCGAGTGTTCGCTAGCAACTCGCTAAGCGAGCAAGCTAGCGAGTGGTCCCAGACTTGGACATAATGTATTTGATCTTGTTCGCTGGTAGCGAGTGAGGTAGCGAAGGATTCGCTAGGACCTCACTGCAGCGAGTAGGTAGCGAAGCCTTACAGTAGCTTCTGTTTGCCTTCGCGAGCTTGTTCGCTAGGCGAACAGGTAGCGAGTATTCGCTAGGAGCTCGCTAGGCGAGCAAGCTAGCGAGCGTGACAGGATTTTCATTTCTTTGTATTTTTCCATCCAATGTTGATTGTTTGGTTCGATTGTGTTCAATCTTTATCAGAAATGAATAGTTTGTGTACTGTTGTGATGTGATATGTTGTGGGTAGCTGTATGGCGTGAATCGTAGATTGTGAAATATTGTGAAATGCATGTTGAATGTATGCAATATTGTGAATAATGCATGAGAACATATTGTGAATATGTGTGTATTGCTTGATAAATACGATGATGTTGAAAGTATGAATGCTTTGATATGATGTGTGAGTGTGCAATCATGTTATAATTCTTGTGTGATATTTGATAATGTATGGGATTAAGATGCGAGAACGGTCTTAAGTGCATTTGATTTTTGATTGCATATGTATCATTTATGTAAAGAGGCAATGCTTGCTAGTCTCGTGGAGGCTAGTGACTTGTCCCAAACCTAGAGCGAGGTTTGAAAGCTTAAGGAATAGGCTTTTGTTGTTATCGGTCTAGGGAACGGACCCGGTTTAAATGTAAAAACCGAAAAATGATAACAAGTGTTGGTACCACATGGCATGAGTTGCATTGAGTCACATGACATAGAGATAAATGTTGTGTGAATGTACGCATGGTGAATTGATGAGAATTATGGATGTGTGCATGATAAATATATTGGTGATCATTCCATATGCTTGATGAGAATTATGGATGTGTGCATGATAAATATGAGTTTGATAATAATATAATATAATTAATAATGATGATAATTTAATAACTAGTAGTAATATTATTATTATTATTATTATTATTACTATTATTATTATTATTATTATTATTATTATTATTATTATTATTATTAGTAGTAGTAGTAGTAGTAGTAGTAGTAGTAGTAGTAGTAGTAGTAGTAGTAGTAGTAGATGTAATAAAGGGAATTAGGGAGTTATTAGAGAAGTTGTGGGAGAAAGAGGATTATCACGATAAACTGCTCAGAAAACCAAAATTGAGGAAAAAGGTTGAAGAGAAGGAAAAAGGAACGTGACTGTGGAGAAAGTAAGAACAGAAGAATTGTCCATCAGTGAAATTGGAAGGTTGTTGCAGAAGAGTCACCGGGAGAGCAAACCGGAATCGGAAGTTTATAGTTGTCCTCAATCCAAAGGTAAGGGTGGGGTTCAATTTTATAATTGTGGGTATGATCGACTTCATGTAGGGAATTGAATCATAAAGTTAATGTTCCCGTAGGTCGATAAATATTGATAAATATTAAGGGTTAATGTTTCCGTAGTAACATTCCCGTAGTAATATTCCCGTAGTAATATTCCCGTAATGTTCCCGTAGTAACGTTACCGTAGTAATGTTCCCGTAAGTTGAAGAAATATTAAGGGTTAATGTTCCCGTAGTAACATTCTCGTAGTAATGTTCCCGTATTAACGTTACCGTAGTAATGTTCCCGTAAGTTGAAGAAATATTAAGGGTTAATGTTCCCGTAGTAACATTCCCGTAGTAATGTTCCCATAGTAACGTTACCGTGGTAATGTTCCCGTAAGTTGAAGAAATATTAAGGGTTAATTTTCCCGTAGTAACATTCCCGTAGTAATATTCCCGTAGTAACGTTACCGTATTAATGTTCCCGTAAGTTGGAGAAATATTAAGGGTTAAATGTGTCCGTAGTAACATTCCCGTAGTAATGTTCCTGTAGTAATATTCTCGTGGAAATGTTCTCGTAGTAATATTCCCGTGGAAATGTTCCCGTAGTAATGCCCCCGTAGTGATATTCCTGTGGAAATGTCCTGTGGTAAAGTTCTCGTAGTAATGTTCGCGTAGGTTGAGCAATATTAAGGGGTAAATGTTCCCGTAGGTTGAGAAATATTAAGGGTTAATGTTTGTCTACGCCTGCATTAGTGTTTATGTCATTAGTTTATGTAGTAATGTTGGGAATCGGTGCCGACACGCGCTAATTTCTCATTTGTTGAGAAAAGGTTGTTGTTATGCTCTTACTTGATCGACTTCAGGTAGGGAATCGAATCATAGATATAGTTCCCGTTACCCGATAAATGTTAGGGACGAGGTTTTTCTGTGTAGGAATGAATGTGTTATATCGTCAGTGTTATACGATGCTGTATGGTTGCCCTTAATGAGGCAAGATTAGTTGCCCCGTAGTTAACGAACCTTTTCAGGAACTATAATTAATTTAGTGAGTAAAAGTTATAATGTTGTTCGTACGATAATGTGCTGAATTCTTAATTGTCGAGAGTATGTTGTTATTGTTCCCCTACATGAACAGATTGAAATGATGAATACTTGATGAATATGAAGTTGTTATTGTTGGTGCAAAGGTAGAATAAATGATGAAAAGAAGAAATATATTATTAAGAATGACGGCAACACAACTACTGAAAATAACAATAATTGCAACCCTATTTATAAACTAAAATTAGGGTTACTAGAATAAGATAAAATACTAAAATACCCTCTAACAAACTTAGGGGCTAAGAAAATAGTACTAATAATATGAATTACTTCTAATACCATCCCTTAATTCATATTCCATCAAAACTTGTAACACCAATTCCATCCCTTAGTCTGAGAAATTGATCAGTCTTGATAGCTTTCGTCAGAGCATCTGCCAACTGTTTCTGAGTGTTGCAGTGTACAACTTCTAACACTCCACTCTGAACTTGATGTCTCAGAAAATGATACTTGGTCTCAATATGCTTGCCTCTCCCATGCAGCAATGGGTTTCTGGCAAGATTGATTGCAGACTTGTTGTCAATCATCAGCTTCAGAGGTTTGTTTATTTTAATCTTCAGATCCTGCAACAGATTCAGAATCTACACAGCTTGGCATACAGTAACAGCACCTGCAATGTATTCAGCTTCACATGTTGATAACGCCACAACAGGTTGCTTCTTGGAACACCAAGAAATGGGACCTCCCAAAAATTTGAACAAGTACCCAGATGTACTTCTTCTGTCAACTCTGTCTCCACACCAATCAGAATCTGAATAACTCAGAAGTTCTGACTCATCCTTTCTTCCAGAAGGAAACAACACTCCATACTTCAGAGTTCCCTTGATATACCTCAGAATCCTGACAGCAGCTTGGTAATGGGACCACTTAGATTTACTCATGAACCTACTAACCATCCCAACAGAGTAGCAAATATCAGGTCTGGTATTGCACAGATACCTCAGAGAACCAACCAACTGTTTGAAGGTTGTAGCGTCCACATCCTTTCCATCAGAGTCAGAATCCAGTTTCTGATTTGTATCTGAAGGTGTGACAGCAATCTTATAATTCTTCAGTTCAAATCTCTTCAGAAGTTCTAATTCATACTTGAGCTGATGCAAAATGATACCTTTCTCAGAATATCTGAACTCCATCCCTAAAAAGTATGTCATTTTGCCTAGATCAGTCATTTCAAATTCATTCATCAGAACTTTCTTGAACTTGGCTATCTCCTGTTTAGAACTTCCAGTCAATAGTATATCATCAACATATAAACATACCAGAGTCATATTGCCTTTAGAAGTATGCTGAACATAGACACCGTACTCCATCTCACATTTCTGAAAGCCTTGCTTCTTGAAAAATGAATCAATCTTCTGATTCCAAGCTCTGGGCGCTTGTTTCAATCCATATAGAGCTTTGTATAATCTGTACACCATCCCTTCCTGATTTTTTTTCACAAATCCAGGAGGTTGTGACACGTAAAATTCTTCTTCTAATGGACCATTCAGAAATGCAGATTTTACATCTAAATACATCAGAGGCCAATTCCTGTTAGCAGCTATTGCAATCACCATTCTGATTGTTTCATGTCTTGCTACAGGTGCAAACACTTCAGAATAATCCAGCCCAGGTTTCTGTAGAAATCCTCTGGCTACCAACCTTGCTTTATGTTTGCCAATTGAACCATCTGGCTTTAACTTCTGCTTGAAAACCCATCTAACGCTGATGGCTTTCTTGTCTTTTGGAAGTTCTGTCAGCTTCCAAGTCTTGTTTCTCTCTATAGCATCAAGTTCTTCTTTCATGGCCTTCAGCCAGAGCTTCTGCTTAAGAGCCTCTTATGTACTTATGGGTTCAGAGTCTACCATCATGGCACACTGAATAACTTCTCCTTCAGAGTCTACTTCAGTGTCTTGCAGCATGTCAA